TTAATCACATATAAGAGGAAATGTTAATATAAGTAGAGTATCTTAAAGTACAATTTTTGTGCCAAGTATGAATGCCCTATGATACTTCTCTAGTAGGATCAAACTCATAATAAGAGTTGAAAAATAACTTAAATGTCTGGTTTATAATTGCTCCCTCAAGCAATAAAATCATTGTGAAAATTAAAAATGAAAAAAATCATTAATGATGAATGCAAAATGGTTTATTTAAGTGATGAAGCCTACAATTATGATTGCTAATGGAATTTCTTAACATAATGCTAATATCGATGAAAGAATATAAAATTGTGTTTACACAAAAAAATAAGCCAATGACTTAACTTGAAGCTTAGGATTCCTAGAAAAATTAATGTAGTAACCATTAGAAATATTGTAGGAAAGCTTAGCATTGAGAGAAGAGGCATGCATATAGTTATATTTCACCCTACAATGGTGGCACAAGAAAAATTAGACTTCCATAATGAGAAATGCATGACTTCCTCAAAAACTTAAGAGCACAAAAATTATTCAAAAATTTCTAAATAAGAGAAAGATTGAAACATTATGACATGGTAATAAGAGAGGGGAATGTCTAAAACTCATTTACGCTTAATTTCACACAGTCAGTTCCATTACAAAAGATGTAACTTTCAAATAAATATAGAGCTCTGATGGAGATTCAACACAATATCTATTAATCATTTCAATACCAGTCTTAGAAATGCGCAAATCCCTAATCAATAAGCTGGTTAGTTCAAAATGTAGATAGGGTGCTATTAAGATCATTAACATTGGAGTTAATAGTTTTACTAAAGACAATAAGATCATCAACATATAATAGTAATCCAAAGTTATGAGAGTATACTTTCAAAAATTACAATTGAGCTTCTATTGCATAACAAAACAAAAAAAAAATCATCCATCACTTCCCAATAAAAACACTGAGGATAAAAATTAGCCTTTTTTTTAAAAGTCAAATTAAAATAAATAAAAATTACCAAAGAGTAATTAATGTATCAAATCAAATGAAAAAATAAAAAGAGATGCAAAATCCTAAAAGGTTAAGAAACCCTAAACTTCGAGCCGATTCAGGTCGACTTCTTCGATCCCTTCACCACCATGATTTTGATGATGGAAGCAACGCCGATGCGATGCAGAGCAACCACCGCCTCCCCTGGACTGCATAGCTTCCTCTCCACCGCCTTTTTCAAAGCAGCGTCCACGATCGCCTCCGTCGACTCAGCATCCGTCCC